AAAACTGGTGACAGCTCATAACATAATGAGGACATTTAACTCACACTGTTCTCCTCTGGGCTTCAGATTCCTAGTCTCTAAAATGAAGGGATTCGACTAGGTGATCTCCAAGGCCCTTTTGAGCTCTGGCTCTATAATCCTATGATCCTCCATGGAAGCACTTTTTGTATTTTCTGTGGAAATTAAATTGTGTCAGTGGAGCTCACAGCACTTTAGACTTGATCACATCATCTCAAAGAAGGCGCCCATTTTATATATAACCCTGCAGCACAGAGAATCCAAGTGATGACTAGCTCAGGCTCACACATCAGGTAGTAACTGCACTGGAACTCCCCGTCCTTGACTCCATAAAATAGAACATGCTAACATTAATCACGATGGTCTTTGTTAATTTTGTGGAGGAGACGGTGTTCACAAATGATACCATTCGTTGCAGTTTCTTTTATTACTGGCACCTCTTTCTTCTACCTGTCTTCAAAATGCTGATACAAATGGCACATTTAAGAAAGCCTCTCTCAACAATTCACACACAAAATCTGCCTAATTTGTGTGATTAAGTCTGCATTTTCTAGTCTTGTTTCTGTGGCTTTGCAAACTTCCAGCATCTTTTAAAAACTTTTTAAAGTAATTTCATTTCATCAGTTATAATTTCTGCCTGTTTCATTATATTTAAATTTTTCAAAGAACTTTTTCATGTATAGAATCACAAAGAAATGTTTGTAAAGTAGAACAGTCAAAGAATCTTTAGTTCAGAAGTCTAATTTGTATCAAAGTATTCTCTTTCTCCTTGTACAAGTAAATTACACTGTGCAAGGTAATTTATTGCTTCAGGCTGAAAAGAAAAAGAAAAAAAAGAAAAAGAAAAACTATCTAATCTGAGCCATGCACTATTGGCTGGAGCCCTGGTCCTGGAAGCCCAGCATAGCATAAATCATAGCTCCCTTGTTTGGTCAGGCCTTGCCGAACTCCATTGCCTTATTTGATGCTTTGGAAAAATTATGCTAGTGTTTCAGCATATCTCTTTTCTAGCTTGAAACATGTTCTCTGAATGCTGATTGGTTTTTTTTTTTTTTGAAGGAGTTGAAGACAATGTCTGAACAGCATTAAAATGATTTTAACATCTATGTTTCCAATGAACTGGGCGAGGAAAATGTTCTACTATGGGCAGAATGATATGTCACAGAACATGTAAAGTAATTTTATCAAAAGTTTGAATCATCTTAAGTTGCTTTCTTTGCTAACACCTAGAGAAATTAGCATTTTAGCTGAATTATAAATAGATTATAACTCTGATTCCTGTGTTTATAAGTAGTTTCCAATCCAGTCCACTAGTACAATGATAAAAATAGAAAATCACTTTCAAAAATGAGTACCAAATCTCAGTATATCTTTCCCTAACTCATTGAATTTTTTTGAGGCTGTGTTCAAATTTCCAGCAATTTTATAATATTTGTAAAATTTGGACTTGGAAGGCAAAAAGCACTTTAACAGAGATGTTCTTTTAGATAATGCTCTGGACATCTTAGCACTATCAGACTGTCTGGGGCAAGCAGCCTCTTTGTTGTCTTGCTTAAACTTTTAGATGCCAGCTTTTTACAGATAGGAAGGTATTCCAGCAGATTCCTTGGATACTTTTCTGGATGGATTCCTTCCATGTAAATGTAATGCTTTAACAGAAGAAATGCATTGTATTTTTTAAAAAGTTTTAAATGTTCAAATAGTTCTAAATTGCTTGTGAAAACATGTCAGGACATGCTATTTTGAGACTCTCTAATAAATATCTTTTGACTACTCCTAGTCTGAGACAAAACCTAGTTCTCTTTGACTGTTTTTGTGCAAAATCCCTTTACCAAAGAATGAGAAGGGTCTACAGAGCAGATCAGATACAGAAAATGTTTATACCATGCACTCTGATCTGGCTACTCAGACAGAATGTCCTGCACAAAGCCAACCACATTCAGTTTTCATATTTTAAAGAATCCAGACTGAGATGTAAATGCTGCAGTTAAAAAGAAAAACCAAAATGTTATAAAAAATCCTTCCACAGGAGAAGGAAAGCCAAAAGAGTGATGCTTAAAGATTCTTATCTTAAAGATAGACCATGCTATACTTCCTCCAAAATGGGGGTCAAGGATACCTTTGAAAACTTTTTCTTCAAAAAAAAATTTTTATGTTTTTTTTTCCCTTTTAGTTGAGTCACTAAAACTTGATGAGTCAACATTTTATTAACCTCTCTTTTGTAAAGGGCATACTTAAATATGTCAGTATTGTGCCATCAAAATAATTTCATTCATTTGATGCTTTGATGGACTTGATCAGTGTGACTACAGAAAGGAGAGCTCAATTTGTTTATTTTGGCTGGATTTAGGTCTTTCCCAGATGGAGAATGCCCCTCTTTCAATTGTAAATCACATTAAGTTTCAAGGGAAGGAAGCTGCTTGGAAGAGCTGGGAGAGTTTGACTTCCATTTAATGATAGGATTTATTCATATCTTTCAAATGGTGTGATTCTCATGTTCCCAGGGCTTCCTAGATGCCATACAGATAAACAGTACCCTTCTGTGCCAGTGAAATAAGAATGCCCTGTGTTATATAGCTGCCTTCTCCAAAAGGGTCTAAATACTCTCTATATATAGATATATAGATACAGATAGTTGTTCCTCTCAAAATCTCTGTAACAGAGATCCTTCTCATGATTAACTCAAGAAATATATACTAAGAATCATAATATTTTAGAGTAAAAGGGGCCTCAGAAATTCAGTCTAACTCAGACCTAAGCTGGAATTCCTCCTACAACATTCCAGACAAGTACTGGTCATCCATCTGATACTTGAAGGTCTCCAGTGATAGGGGGAGCTCATTACTTACCCTGTGTTGTATGGACTGGACTGAGATTAGGATTGTCAGACTAGAGCTGAGAGGTCCCTTAGGCACCATCTAATTCAGCTGCCTTGTTGTACAGATGAGCAAACACCGACTGCTAAGGTTGCTTCCAACTCCCTCCAATTCTGTAATTCTCCTTTTGAACGGTGTTAATTGTTAGGGAAATTATCTTTTGTTGAGCTGAAATCTAACTCTTTGTACCTAGCCATATTGCCAGAATACCTTTATTTCTTATTTTGACAGATTAATTGGTAGGTTAAAGGATTGCTGTAGATATAGTTTACCTATATTTTAGCAAAGTGTTTGATCAAGCTTCTCACACTACTCTTGTGGAAAAGATGGAGCTACAAGCTAACTGATAGTCTAGCTGCAGTGAGAGTGATCCAGCTCTGGTTAAATGGCTGAAATGAAAGAGTAGTTATTAATGGTTTTGATGTCAACTTGGAAAAAGGTCTTCAGTAGAGTGTCCCAGGAATCTCTGCTTGACATTGTGCTCTTCAGCAGTTTTAATTAGTTTTTTGGATAAAGGCATAGGAAGCATGCTTCTCAGATTTGAGAAGGGAGGAAAAGCAACATTTATGCTTTGACAAATATTGGCTGTGTGACCCTTAGAAGGTCATCTAACTTCTCAGAGCCTCAGCCAACTGAACCTAGAATCTGCAGAGCAGGAGCTGAGCTGCGTTGGTAGGGGGATTTTCCTCAGGAGAAGTTGTTTACATCAGTTAAATCACAGCCTATTCTCCTTCTTGCCCCACTCCCAAAAAAAATCCATAAAATTTAATAGGGATGAATATAAAGTTTTATATTATGGGTTCAAAAATTGATCTGACAAGTACAAGATGAGGAAACATGATTGGGCAGTAATATGAAAGAGAGCTTAGTGAGGGCTTAGTGAGCTGCAAGCACAGTATGAGTTGGTGCTATGATATGGTAGGCGAAGAATTCCTGCGATGATGGCTGGCATTCTGAGGCTTGGGTCCCAGGGATAAAGAGGAGATCAGCCCTCGGGATTTTGCCTCTTGGAGTATTGCAGTCATCTCTGGGATCTTTTAGAAATAACATTGACAAACCAGAGGATCCTTAGGATGATAAAGAACCTGGAGTTCAGGCCATATGAGATTTGGTTGAAGGAATTAGAGATGTTTAACCTAGAAAAGAGAAGATCTATGGGGAACATGGTGACTGTCTTTAAGTATTCAAAAGGCTGTCAAATGGACCCCAGAGAAATTATAAAAGAAATTCTAAAGAGGCAAATTTAGGCTTCATGTCTGGAAAATTTCAGTTGGAGGCATCCATAAGTAGAATATACTGTTGTAGGAGGTAGTAGATCCCTGCTCATGGAAGACTCCATGCCTGATGACTGCTTTTCAGATATGTCTAAAGAGAATTCTTTTTCAGATGTGGGTTAAAAGAGAACCCTGAAGAGGCCCTTTCCAACTTTGGAGTTCTCTGATTTTTAGATTAGATTGTGAGCTCCTTGAGGGCTAGGGCTGTCTTTTGCATGCCTGGAACACAGAAGATACTTAATAAATGTTTATTTATTAGCTGATTCTGTGGATCCCCACCCATTGCTCTTGTTTTGCGCAAGGCACTGTGTGTATTTCTCTCACTCTTGTTATTGTTAGTTCTTTTCTACTGAAGTCATTTGCTCATGGCCAATGATGTATTAAGAAGGAAAATGAGAAATAGATTCAAAGTCTGATTTCAAAATCGGTGGTCATTTAATTTCTTTGTTTTTTAATTAGAATTTTCTTTTTTTTTTAATCACAAACTTAAATGTAAGCAAACATAAGCATTTCAGTATGTAGAGAACAGGGAAAAAAGGATTGTATATGGAAATGTGAACTTGTATTACAGATTGTATGGGTTTTTTTTAATGTATATTAAATTGATTATGATGACAAAACCTTTCTGCTTATCTCTTCCCCTTTTCTGAACTTCCCTCTTCTCTTTGCTGTGTAGATCATTTGATTTTCTTCCTCCGTGGTTCATTTACAGCTTATATTTTGTCATCATTATCTTGGAATATGTCACTTAACTCTTTAAGATCCTATGTGTGCCTTCTTATCCCTTTACAGTATCAAATGACTGCATTTTTTTCCCTTTTGTCATTTCCAGGCAAGATGTCCACTGAACGTGCTTTGCGAAAACAGCAGCAATTAAACAACCTGGTCTCTGTGGTAACAAATATGGCTAAACCTGGTGACATCGTTGTGGATTTCTGCAGTGGTGGGGTAATGGATCTTTTCCTTCCCCCTTCTTTTTTTCCCATTTTTATCTAATAATTCTAATATTAATTCTAATAATAAAATCTAATACACAATTCTAAGCCTGTGCAACTAAGTTGGATCCCTCATAGTATTAACAGTCACAGGCAAGCAGAAGGACCACAGTTTAGAGACCAGTTCCTATCTGCCCCCGAAAAAGCTATAGGAACACATCCAAGAGAAAAAGAGATGGATAAATAGCTAAAGCATTTATTAAGCTTTTATCATGTGCCAAGTACTATACTCAGTGCTGGGGATCCTATGAAAGTCCCTGCCCTCAAGCAACTTATATTCTAATTAAATAAAACTCTCGTAAAGAGGTGCTGGAAAGCAGAGGGGAGACAGCCCCACAGAGGTACGATAAGGAGACTGTAAGAAGTGGTCTGGAGGCCTGGTTCCCAGCAAGAGAACACAAAGGTTTCACCTTACCCAGCCAACTAGAGTCAGGAGTGAACTCTAATCTATTCTTAGAGTGGTTGAATGGAAGATGCTTCAGAGAGTAGGGCCATGAAAAAGAGGCTGCAGGCCATGGCTTGGATGCTTGTTTTTTGGTGAAATAAACAGAAAGAGAAAAAAAGAAGCTAAAGACAAAAACACCACCCCCCCCAATTAAAAAAAAAAAACCAAACACTAGCCAACTTAGAAGAGCTACCGGGATTACTTCCATGATGTAGCTTCTCTCCTGCCACTGAATCTATTCAGGTAGCTGGCCTCTGTTCCCATAAGACTGGTGGGGAGAGAGACAGAGAATCCTAGGATTCCTGAGGCGTAGGAAGATGAAGTGATTTGGCCAGGTTCACGCAGCCAGTGAGCTTCTTGGGCAGGATTTGTTGAGGGGTTAGGGAATTGCCATGTCCTAATGCAAGGGAGCAAGCAATCTGCAGCTTCCTGAGCTGAGGCAGGCAATCGTGTCACGGTTAATTGGGGGATTGGAGAGAAGGAATGAAAATGGACTTGCCCTTCCAGGCTTTAAAACATACTTTAAAACTTTAGAAAAAGCAGCTTTCATTAAAATTACTAGGTATTAGCCCCCCCCCCAAAAAAGACAAGTGGGAAAGGACCCTCTCTTGAAAGCCAAATACTAGTAAAAGATTAGTACTTAATAAAACCATAGACAATAAAAACTGAGGAAGAGATTCATCATTTAATAAATATTAGAGAAACTGAGTAGCAATATAACAAGAAGTAAATTTGAATTGTCACCTCACACCATATGCCACAGTAGCCTGCAACAGATAAAAGAATGAAGCATAATCAAATGAACAATGAGAAAGTTGGAAGAAGAGGGAACATCTCAATTGTCCCATTTCATTTGTGGAAAGCAGACAAAATAGTAGCTATTAAATAAATAGAAGGAATTGTTAGAGATAAGAAATATGAATGATTACATAAAAATAAAGTTCTTCAGAACAAAATATAATCAAGATCAAAAGAAAAATAGCATTGGGGAATACATTTGCAGCAACTAAAACAGATAAAAACTTATCATCTAAAATTCTAAGGCTCTGATAACAAGTATCAAGGGTAGCACCTAGTTACCATTGTATAAATGTTCCAAGGATCTGAAAACAATTCGTGAAAGAAGATATAATTTGAAAAATAATTTGAAAAAAGTCTCAGCCTCACTAATAATCAGAGAAATGCAGATTAAAACAGCCTTGAGGCACCATACTTCACACTCATCCAATTGGCAAAAAATAACTAAAAGTGACAAAAGCTCATTGCTGATATGGGTATAGAAAATCAAATGTATGCATCAGTTACTGGCAGAATTGCAGATTGGTAGAATCTTTGTGGAGGGCAAGGTATTGAACTAGATTCACAAAAATAATCCTACCTCATGTCATAGTAATCCTATTATAGGGAATAGACCCCTTTGACTGTAATCTTAAAAGGAAAAAAATAAATCTTTTCATTTGTAGCATTATTTGTCATTGCAGAGAAATATAAGCAATCTAAATGTCTGATACATGGCTGAAAAAACTTGAGAAAATTTATTTTGAAGTGTAAATAGTTGTAAATGTATGCTTATTTGGTTTTATTGTTTACTGTTTAGTGCATTGTAAATAATTTGGTGGGGGAAAAACCCTTTTTGGGAGGATAGCCATCTTGAATGCACACATGTTCTGGGGGCAAATATTAACATCTGTACTCCCTGCCTTTTACAGGGACATGTTGGGATTGTTCTTGCTCACGTGCTGCCGTCATGCCAGGTAAGGTCTGAGAAATAGATTAAAAGGAAGTTAATTTTCTTTGAAGACTCGTAATAACCCAGAATTTTGGAATGCTCCATACAGAAAAATGAGCAAACCCAACCTGGCTTTCCCATTGCTTTATAGTCTGCTTTTTGCTTTATCGAGAGGGAGAGTGTGGAAATGGAAGGGTGATTCCTTTGGTCTGAGTTCCAATACAGATCAGCCACTTACATGTAAATTTGCATTTTGGAGGGTTCCCTGGGCTACTGAGAGTTTAACTTGCTGGGGGGGGGGGGGTGTCACACAGCCAATGTGTGTCAGAATTGGGACTAAACCTCAGTCTTCTTGACTCCAAGGTCCAGCTGTCTACTTGCCGTGTGGCCTCTCCTGTGCCCTGCTCATTGTTGTTAAGTCGTTTCAGTCGTGTCTGACCCTTCGTGACCCCATTTGGAGTTTTCTTGGCAAAGATACTGGGGTGGTTTGCCATTTCCTTCTCCAGCTTATTTTATAGTTGAGGAAACTGAGGCAAACAGGGTTAAGAGACTTGCCTGGGGTCACACAGCTAGCAAGTGTCTGAGGCCAGATTTGAACTTAGGAAGATGAGTCTTCCTGACTATAGGCCCAGCACTCTATCCACTGTGCCACATAGCTGCTCCAATGCCCCGTTCACCGTACTTGAAATTCAAAAGGACTTTCTAATGTCAGCATTAAAAAAATATAGTTCAGATTCAGGTAGAACTTGTGTCAGATTTCTAAGTGATGGGAGGGGTATAGCCACGAACTTTTACTTTCCTTGCTGAACTCTGTTATTCTTGGAAACTGTGCAGCCACAAAAACATTACTGATCTAAAAGCAATAATTAGACATAAATTGGACAAAGAAGAAAGTATAGTAAACTCTTGATTTGAGTGCCTTCAGACTTTGTGAGCATTCAAGCCAGCGTTAGCTCATTTTACGTTTATTCTTTAAACAGAAGAAGTATTTAATAACCAAACAAATAATATAAACAAGATTGTAGACTGCGTGTTCAACCTGCAAAGTAAACTTTCCAAACACTTTGGTTGTTCCCCTTACATACAAACCATTGAAGTGTCTCATCTGGTAATGGATGTCTGATTGTTAATACTGTAATTTAAAATGAGCAAGTGTTCCATTTTAAAATTCCATAATTAAAATCATTCATAGACCTTTGTTTATAAAAAGATTGTGACAGCAGTAAAGATGCATCTGTCATCGTCATATCACTTTAAAATGTGTGTATACCCCTGTCTCAAGAGAAAAAGATGACATTTACAGTTAAATATAATAAATATATTATACATTATAGCTGAAATGTTATTAGCCAATATAGTATTGTTTTCTATTTGAAATCCAGGTGGTATTGATTGAAAACAAGGAGTTATCATTAGTACGAGCTAAGAAGAGAAGTGATGACTTGGGTCTGAGCAACATTTGGTTCATCCAAGCAAATCTGGACTATTTTACAGGGAAGTTTAATATTGGGGTAAGTTACTAAGATGTTTCAACATCAGATTTTTTTAAATAAGAGAAAAGTGTATATAGTACAGCATTTGAACTAGTAAAAAAAGTCAAGCTCATTACCAAACAAGAAAATGTATATTATGTAAATTTTACTTTGATTTAGTTGAATATTACTACCTTCTTTTATAGAAAGAGAAGGATTTATGTTTTTAAAATTAATTTTCATGAGGACTCTGGGATACACATTTTGATCCATATTTGGAAGTGATTTAGCAATCTAAGTATACAGAACAGACATATAATAATAAATAATGGACAGGAAGAAGAAAGCAGACTAGATTACATTTGGGAAGTTCAGCAGTGCTTTTGATGACTAAAAGTTGCTCCCCACCACAGTCTATTTTTTAATACCAATAGTCTGTTAGTTGCAGTCTGGATCAATGGAAGAAATTCCCATGCTGATAAAAGTCAGAGATCGTTGACTATATTGTTGTATTCTGCCTGTGATGCTCCATGACTCTGGATCTTAGAACAACTCAGTCTCTTAATCAGTCATCAAGTGTTAAACTTATAATGTGCCAGACACTATGCTAGGCCCTGGGGATACAAATACAATGAATGAATCAATTCCTTCTCACAGGTGAGCCAAGCCCCGTAGAAATATGAGTGATGGCCTGTGTGTCCGTAGTGGTGTAAAAGATCATGGAGGAAATGTAGAGTTGCCAAATGGAGGTGTAACAGTCAGGTAGCAAGATAGAGAAATGACAGATGAACAGCCCAAGGACTTCATGAGTCATTCCAAGACTTCTTGTCCATATCAACTCACAGATCAATTGAAGTATTAAAGAAGTATTAGCAATATGGATAATGAAATTATTTTATCAGAAAATTCAACTTGGCATGGTTCTGTTCAACTGTAACATTTTTGATTGATCTTTATTACATATGAGTTTAAGCTAATGTATTTGGCTCGAGTAATAACAACAATTCATATTTGTATGACTTACATGTTTTCTGCCCCAAAAGCATTACACTCCTTGAGGGTAAGGACTGTATTTTGCCTATGCAGCCTCAGCTCCTGACGGTAGGAGTAAATGTTTATTGAGTACTTTCATGTCATTTTTATTTTTTGCACAAAAGATAGAATAAATTATACAGTGCTTAATTTGAGCTTCATTTAACCAATATTGTAGTTAATTCAAAGCCATGCATTCTGCTTATCCTGCTTAACAGTGAGTGAAAACCGAACCTGCTACAGAAAAATATGTCCAGAAAACTAGACAAGCAGAGAGGATGATAAGGTACAGAGCCAGAGGTACTCAAAAAAAGCATCTTTTTATGAAAAGAGGAAAATTCATTATAAATAAAAGAGAATTCTTAATCAATGTGCTATAAATTAAAAAGTTCTTAGTTTTCTTAAGCCCTCTCCTCATTGAATTGGACCAAGTTTTATATGTAACATCACTTAGATATTCTTATTTGAAACAAACTAGAATTTAATACTCCTTAGGTAATAAGAATTACTGGCCAACAGAGGATTTCCCCAAAGGCCTAACTAAAAATGGCATGTTCCCTATAGCCAACAATAATGAAAAGCACAGGGCTAAAAAGGAACTCATTCCATTACCCTCTCTGAAGATAAGACTACAGACATGCCAAGGCCATTAAAATAAAATTTTTTAGAAACAGAAATTCTAGAATGCTTTCCTAATAACTAATAACTAAGATCCTATTCCATTGTAACTCCAGTGATGGTTACGTTTCTTTCCATGTTGCTCAGCTGGTGCTAGAATATTTAGGAGATCTGAGTCAGGTATCAGGGAGGTCAATAAGATAGCCAAACTGAAGGGTACATATGACCACAGCAATACCCTAGCTTCTGGTAGTCTGTACACGGGGTCTACTTCCAGTCAAGTAGCTGTGGTTGCCATTGAGGAAGGTTGTAGTAACCCAGCCCCTCGTTACACTCCTGGTCTAATGTAGTCTTCACTTCATTGTTAGCAGAACTTGCCAGTGTAGTCTTCAGTCTGTCGGTTAAACCCTTCCTTCATGATTTGCCCCCAACAAGTTTTACAATAAACGTTTCTCTTGGAGGGGAAGGATTAAACTGCTGGTTTGCAGAGGATATTAACATAGATGAATGAAAAAAATTCACTAATGACTTAACTATGTGTAGGCTGTGTGCTAAACACTGAGGATACCACTTGAAAAAGGAAAATAGTCCCTGCCCTGGAGGAGTTTACACTCTGATAGGTGAAACATATAAAGGAGTGGTGGGGGGAGGTGGGATTTGGACAGGGAAATTATAAGGATAGTGAATGGCAGCATTGAAGAATTCATTGACGGGCCCTTTCTAGAAAGGATAGATTTGATTCTTATTTCCAGTGCTAGAGGTGAAGGCCAAAGGAGGGGGAACAGGGTGATGTGGTTATGAGGGGCAGCATGGAATCCAGGTGGCTTAAGGAACAGCAGTGCTTTAGGGGTCTTGGTGGAGCTTGAAATGGTGAAGAATAGTCTGGTTGGGAGCAGGGTGCTTAGGTTGGTTTTTCTCTCCTACTGCCTCACCTACCTGTATGCAAGTGCACATCCCACCCCCAGTGATACAAGCTCAACCATTTTGGGAATTAAGGTCCACTTGTGGAATTACCTGTTTTAATCTGGATGCCAGAGTTTGAATTTAACTTACCCTAGTAGATTGTGCTGGTAGCTTTTGCATCCATTATTGGGTTATTCTTTTGATCTGATTATAACTTTGTGAAATACATCTGTGAAGTTTTTAATAATAATTACAACAGTTAGTATTTATGTAGTGTTTTAAATTTTACAAAGCATTTTACATATATTTTCTCATTTGATCTACACAATAACTCTTAGAAGTAGGTGCTATTATTATCCCCGCTTTACAGATAAAGGTCAGTGACTTGTCCAGGGTCACACAGCCAGTAAGTGTCTGAGGTAGGATTTGTACTCAGGCCTTCCTGGCTCCAAGTCCAGTGCTCGGTCTTTTATACCACTGACATGCCTAGACCCATGTTTTGGGGTAAAAATTTATAGGTTTGAGGAAGACAACTACCTGTCTTATCAAATGGTAATGAAAACTCATTAAGTACTATTATGGAATTCTGATTTAATTATTTGATTTTTAAATATTTGGTCATAAGTCCTCCTAGGCTTTTTCTTTTGTTTGGCCTGACATCACTTTAGGAGGTTTGGCAAATTTTTCGTACAGTATATAATCTATCACTAATGTTCCATGGGTGAGGTGGGCACCTCATACCTGGATACTGACTTGTTTCACTCTGTGGGCTGGCCTGGCTACTCTAACCCACTCTGTGTTACATTGGCAGGTCTGGATTCCTAGAGATGGGCCACCACATAGCTACTCTCTAACTTGATCAGCGTCATGGGGATCACCCTGTTTTCATTTCATTTAAACAAAATCAGACACAATGATGGCACATAACATCTTAAATATAATGGATTTCTTTAGCAAGAAGGGGGAAAAATAATAATACCACAAGTACAGATATATTAAAGCAAATGCAAGAATGATAAATATATCAAAATACAGCCGGTCAGTAAACATTGATTAAGCTCTATGTGCCAAGCACTGTGCCAAGTGCTTGGGATGCAAAGAAAGGAAAAAGATAATCCCTGACCTTGAGGAGCTCACAGTCTACAGGGGGAGACGACACGCAAACAACTATGTACAAACAAGATATAGACAGGGCAAATCGAAGACAATCATTAGATGGAAGGCACTAGAATAAAGGGGGCACAGGAAATGCCCTTCATGATCTGGGGGGGAGAGTGGGTGCAAACTGAAACCTGGCAGGAAAGTAGATGACTCTCTCTCCGGCTCTGTCCCAGGAGCTCTGATCTCTCAGCCAACCAGGAGTCTCCCAGAGGAGGCCAGCTCTGGGGGTCTGACCCCCGCTGCTGGTTTCATTCTTTACTACTTTCAGTGATAGGATTCAGAGCTTGCCCTTTCAGTGGTGATATGGAAGAACTACTGGATCTCCCCTGTGAAACCAACAGCCGGGGTTTTGACCCTCTTTGTATCCCTAGTGCTGAACGCAGTGACTGGCACTCAGTAAGCACATAAGAAGTGCTTTAATGACCAACTGACAGTCTTTATAGGGACTACATAGGATTCAGTTATGTGATTTTTTTAAATGTTGAGTTATATTCTCTCTTAAAAGAAAGGTACATGCAGATGATTGGAGAGGAACCGGAGTACTCCATAGCTTCAGCCATTCTTTAGTCTTCAGAAAGGTCCAATTTAACAAAAGTATTTGCTCCCGACAACTGTTTCTTTGTGCTCACATTTTATCAGTTGTTAATAAATAAAAGTATACTTTTACAGACTTTACATTGTAAAAAATTTTTACATTCCAAAGTCACATCACCCTACATTGTTTACAAGGTGATTTGGAGTTTTTTACTTACACCACAGTTCATTTTCTGTTCATTTTGCAAGCAAACTCTTCATGGGAAAGGAAAACTTTCTTTACACATAGATTTTTGTTGTTGTTTAGTTGTTTTTCAGTCGTGTCCCAACTCTTCATGACCCCTTTTGGGGTTTTCTTGGCAAAGATATTGGAGTGATTTACCATTTACTTCTCTGGCTCATTTTACAGATGAGGAAACTGAGGCAAACAGAGTTAAGTGACTTGCCCAGGGTCACACAGCTAGTAAGTATCTGAGGCCAGATTTGAACTCAGGAAGATGAGTCTTCATGACCCAGGCCTAGCGTTCTATCTACTGTGCCACCTAGCATTCCCCACACATAAATTTTAGCAGTTTGTTTTGTTTTTTTTTAAAACAAAGTTCTTTTCATTTTCCTTTCAGGTATCAAATCTATGAAAGAGGCAATACCTTCCATTCTTTGCCAGTTCATTAAATCTTTTTTTCTATGTACAAAAGTCTTCTTTTCTTCCTCTTTCAGCACCAAAGTGCTCCGTAGGAAAGAACACTACCTTTAAGGGACAGCACTTTACACTAGATTTCAGGTAACTTGAC